CATCTAAGCCTCACAGAGGGCAGGAGGCCCCGGAGCAGGGCTGGCCTAGGAAGCAAGCAGACACTGGCTCACGGCAACGCTGAGCCTGTGTCCACACACCTCATCCAACGTACCCCTCTCAGCTGCCTCTGCAGATACTTCTTCAGATGAGAGCACTGAAGTAGAGGGACTTACCCAACACCCAGAGGGGGATTCCAGCTAAAATAGAATCCAGATAAAAGATTTTATTTTATTCTCAGTTCTTTCCAGCGCCTTCTGGTCCAGCTGGCACTGATTTCCTGTCCCATGTTCCCTGCCCCTGCTATTCCAGAGTACTTGGACTCCTAGGTTTGGGACCGGAAAAGGATCTTAGAGTTTGTTGTCTCCAGTCTCTTTGAGTAATGCACCTAGGGTCACACAGCCCACGAAGAGCAGGAAACCGGGATAGAATTCCATCGCGCGTCTAATAGGACAGGCTTGGTCACTTACCACTTGTGGTCTGCCTCACTGCATTGGGAGTCAGGTCTAACTGTGTGGGCCCTGGTCTCTATCTGCTTGCCAACCTTAGTTTCCCATCTCCCCATGGTGAGGGTGTGAGGGTATCCCAAGGGCCCCCTAGAGCTCCCCAGGCTCAGCCCCTGATTGATGGTCTGCGCGTTCCTGGGTCTCCACGCACCGCGGTTTGCATGTCTTACTCCTCCTTGACATCATTTTCTTTCTAGATAATTGCTTTGTTCTAATTCTTTAGAGGTAATTTTCTTCTGTTACTTTATTTCTACAGTTAACACCCTCCAATTAATTTCATAGCTCTTGAAAGTTCTCACATAAGTTGCCCTCACAAACCCTTCCAGTTTAACCGTCGCGTGCAATAGCAGCGTCTCCGACAACACAGCCATCTATTCACGCCTACTGCATCCGAGCACATCGGTTGCATTTGATCTTCATAATAACCTTAAGAGAGTAGCCCGCTTTTACAGAGAGGAAAAATTCAGACTCAAAGAGGTAAAGCAGTCTGCTCCAGGACTGTAGTACAGGCAGAGCTGGGATTTGAACCTCCACCTCCAGCTGCTGGCCTGAGTCAACAGCTGCTCCAGATTCAAGGGGGAGCACATGGTGGCTGTCAGGTCCCAGGTGCACATCTGTCCTACTGGGGTGGCTCCAGAGTGAACTTGGTGGCCCTACTGGCTCCACCTCTGGCGATTCCCTACAACCTTCCCCTGGATCCTACACAGAGAAGCTTCCCTGGCAGGCAGGAGGAAATGAAATCCAGGCAAAACACGGGGTCTCAGCATCCATGCATGGATGGGGAAAAGACAGTAGTGGTTATAGCATCTCTTGGGGAGAGGAGGAAAAAAAATGTAACACCAACTACATTTGAAGAGAAATAATACATGATTTCAAATTCTATTTTCTTATCTCTCTCAGTACATCTCCTGGTGCTATTTTATCTAGTAAATAGGAGACCTAGTTGTTATTCTCAATTATGATATTAATACTCCTGGTGACCCTGGGCAACTTACCTCCCTTCTCTGAGCTGGTTTCTCGATCTATCACCACCTGCTCAAGGACAAAAAGATGTTCTCGCAGGAAGGAAGCTCCCCGTGTCTGGAACAGGCCTGGGCCCTCGTTTACCCAGCAGGTGCTGCTGGTGTGGGCGGGGGTGGCCTGCAAGGGGTGGACGGACCGCAGTCCCCAGTGCCTGCTCTCAACCTCTCTCTCCTTTTTCCTAACCACAGACCTAACCCTCCTGACCGTGTTTGCACTTGTTAGCCTCACAGATCCTTCTGCCAACCTCCCTGTCCTGTTAGATTCTAGAATTTTCCCCTGTCCCTTCCTCCCAGAGTTGGGGGAAGGGTAACAGCAAACCCCAGCTGGGCGACAACTTCCGCCGCCATGTGCTTGGTTCGATACTGTTTTCCTATTTTTCCAGCCATCTCCCTCCTTGGGGGGAGGTTGCCACAGGTGATCGGCCCAGCCTGTGTTTACCTCCGCACTCTGTGCCTCCTCTCCTGCATCCCGCAGGGGCTCCCCAGCCATCTGGAATGGGGCCCACAGCTCCCCTCTCCCCCACGTGCCAGCCGAGAAGGCCGGTTTGAGCACTGCGTGGGAGGCCCAAGCTTCCCACCAACATGGGCAACTGAATTTGGAAAACAGCTCATCACCAACGAAGAAAAAAAAAAACAAAAAAACAAATAATGAACTGCAGAGACCCCGGGCTGGGGTTTGGCAAACACCGATGGAAACAAGTCCCCTATGAAAAAGTCTAATGATTTTTGCTCTTGTTCAGAACTGAAGACTTATTCTAAAATATTGGTCGTCCGGAAAGAGGTACCGGGTGGGGCCACAAGCTAGTTCCAGCCCGCAGGAGACCCAGGGCTCTGTAGCCCGGGAGACTCAGCGCTCACACATGCAAAGCACACCTGGAGGACCCTGGATAGACAGTGCTGTGAGGTAGATAGGATGAATGGACCTTGGTTGCTGCTTTTAATGGAGAGGGAAGCTCAGGCTCGGGGATATGATCATTTCTGGGCAGATCTGGGTCCTCATCTGTGATAGTCTGAGGCTCCCGTCGTAGCTTAGGGAGGACTTCAGGTCATATTTGTACCAAATCCTCTCCTGAACCCTAGGGCGACAGTTAAAATATTTATCAACCCGAGGTGCCAGGGCGCTGAGCCAGCAGGGCTGTGGCCAGACCAGCCACTGGATAGGGCAGGTCCCAGAGGCCCCGGAGGCCCTGGAGGCTGGGGGTAGGGACGGGGTGGCCAGGACAGAGGAGTAGAGGCCTCTGGGGCCAGAGGCAGCAGCTACTCACCACCTGGGATGGAAGCGATTTAATATTTTAGCAGCTGGCTTGCCCCACCAAGTGCCCCGGGTGGTTGTCGGTGCTGCTCCAACCAGCACCTGGCTATGACCCAGCACGCATCTTCCATAGCAGCAAAGTCAAACCTGCCTCGCCGTGCGGCTTCTGGGCCTCATTTCCACAGGCCTGGGGGACCTCGGGGAAGGCGGGATGAGAGGCTCTGGGGTCACCTTCTGGTGCTCTGTGCGGATAAGAGGACCCTTGTCCAGTGCTTGGCCTAGAGCCTGGCACGAGGTTACTGCTCAAGAAGGGTTCACTGCATTTAAAATTTCCAAAGCTGTGCTTCTGCCTGCCCCTGCCCCTCTCTTGTGAGAAACATGACCATCAAGTAAACAGGCAAGCAGCTGCACATCCAGGCAGAGCGCAGTGGCTGTGGCCACCGCTGCCCCCCTGCCCAGGCCTCATTTCAGGAGCAGCCTTGCAGCGGGCTGGTGAAGCCCCGCACACAGGACAGCGTCCTTTCTCGGGACTACATCTTGTATGAGAAGGCAAAGATGCCTTCACAACCTGGTTCATTCACCTGCTAAGCCCCCACCCCCCGCAGCTAGGCTCTGGGGTTCTGGCCAGACCTCACACCCACCTAAGATGAGACAGGGTGTGGAAGAAGAAGGGGCCCAGACTTTTTGAAGGAAACCCTTCCATAGCAGAGCCCTGAGCGGCACTGGGGTCTCCTGAGGAGCCGCCTGCAAGAAGCCTTCTCCTTTGAACAGAAGACTGCGAGGGAAGTGGGTTGGAGACTGGGGGCGGAGGAGGGAATGGTGATCTTGGAGGGAACATTACAGAGGTGGCTCCTCTGGTCCTTGGCCAGGATAACCACCTCCTCTCCCGGTTGCAATCAAAGAGTGGGTGGCCCTGCAGCTCCTGCATCAGAAGCACCTAGGCATATGCTTGTTAAACCTGCAGACTCTAGGCGCTGGGCGGCGTCCGTCCCGCCAAGCGAGCATCGCTGGGGCAGGGCCATGAAGATGACCTTTCAAAAAATGACTGCAGCGATCGATGCTCTTGCTTCCAAACATTTGAGAACAACTCCCTTAGACTGAGATGTCATGCTTCTTGGGCCGGAATTCCCCTTCACTTCCTCCTCCCCTACCCCAGACTGTCTGGGCTTGAGTCCCATTCTGCCACTTAAAGCTGTGGGAGTTTGAGTGCCTCAGCTGCCTCATCTGTGAAATGGGAGAGAAGTAGAACCCACCTCCCCTTTGAGCCTTGCTTCCAAGGGAGTAGAAGGCACCTTGCCTTATGGCTCCCTGAGAGCAGCTCTGACAGAAGCTGTTACAGAAGGGAACTCGTCCCTGCCTCGCCCTGGTGCATGGGGTCATCAAGCACCAGGTGGTGGCATTGGTTGGGGTGAAAAGGGCTCTGCACCCCTAACACAAGGGCTCTAGACCTGGCTTCACGCCATCACACCTGTATGATCCATTCTCAGTGCTGGGACACAGCTCTTCCAGACAAGCAAGGCCCCTGTTTTCAAGGTGTCAAGACGCAGACAACAAACTCACAAACAAACCAGTGAAACGAACGGTGATAACTGTTGTGAAGGCAATTGAAAGACCCCAATGCCAAGTAACTGACATGGTGTAAATAGTGGCAGAGTGTCCTGGGCAGAGAGAACAGCAAGGGCAAAGGTCCTGGGGCAGGAATGGATGCAGAGTGCTAAGGGGACAGAAAGAAGGCTGCTGTGCTGGAGCGTCCCCAGGGAGGAGCGGTGGGGTGAGGGAGGGGGTGAGTTCAGAGAAGCAGCCGAGCAGATCTTGCAGGGCCTATGGAGCTTATTCTAAGTGTGATGGGCAGCTCCTCCCAGCTGGGAGAATTAAATGGAGTAATGAAGCACAGCGCTTGCACCAGGGTTGGTGCCAGGTGACTGCTGTCTGTGCCCTCACCCCATGACAGACGCACCATGGCTGAGACATTAGGGTCACATGGTGACTTGGAGCCTCAGGTCCTAGGAACTGCCCCGACGCAACTTCAGATCGTTGGCTGGGATCCATTTAAAGACGTCAGGAGGTGTTTATTCAGATCACTGGCTTCTCTCTGCACCGCCCCCGACCCTCACCCCCCACCCCCACCATCCCCCAACACGGGGCCACGGTAACACAGTTCGTCTGTTTCCTCAAACCTAAAACACAGCCGGGCTTTTCAGGGCTCTAAGGCCCCCGAGTGTGGTGGGTGCCCCGAGAAGGACAGGGCAGGGATGTCTGGGGATCTGGTTCTCTCCCGCTTGCAGGTGTGGCTGGCGTGCGCGTTGGGAGCGCCTGCTTGCCCCTCCTCCGGGGGGAAGGACTGGCCGTCGTCCCTGCTCCGGGGATGCGGGATGCGGGATGCGGGTGCGCCGAGCCCTCGGGAGGCCTGGCTCTGGTGTGGGCTGCGGGGAGAAGGCGCGGGAAGGAAGGAAAGAGGCGAAACGGTGCGGGAGGGAGGCGGCCGTTGCCATGGAAGGAGCTGCAAGGTATTCTGGGACCAGAATTCTCTCTGCAGAGGGCCGGGTGGGGGGCGGCCGGCTGGGGAAGGTGAGGGGAAAGCCAGTGCCATTCCTTTGTCCTTGGCGCTTCTCAGCCTCCCTGCAGACCGCGAACGGAGCCCCCGCACCCCCGAGGCTGGCCTCTGGCCTCCCGCCCCAGCCCGGCCGGGGGCCCCTCCCCGCTCCGCCGTCCGCCTTGGGTACAGAAGCGGCGAGTGGCCCCTTTCCAGGAGACCTGTTTACCAGCACGACAACAGCAAATTAGTGCGCTTAAGAGGCCTTCAGCGTTTATCCCGGCAAACATGCGCAGCGCAAAGGGGGCCTGCAAGGCCTGCTCCCCGGAATCTACTGAAATGGGTCTGCTGTGCATCTTAATCGACTCCCTCCAACCCACCACATTAAATGCATTTAATCTACTCTTGCAAATGGCTAATTTTGAAAATCCGCTTATCAGAATTAGGTCCTCAACATCCATATTTATTTACTTTTCATTTTCATAATCTTTTTTTTTTTTTTTTCCATGTGTGTGACTGAATTCCGTTTACTATTGTCTGGCTCTCTCTCACACGTCCCGGGGGGCCGGGGCAGGGGAGAAGGGCCAGGTTAGGAGCAAACTGGAAATGGAAACCTGGCAGGGATGAAAGGCATGGGCTCGGGATTTGAGGATTGGGAGGCTCTTCCCCGGTGGCAGCATCTTCAGGAAATCACCAAGAGCTGAGGCTTGAGCAGAGCAGGTTTAAAAAGGCGATGCGGAAGTCTTGCTGAATCCCAGGCACCCGGGGCCTGCCTGGCAGGAATCAGCAGCCGTGTCAGAAATGTGCAAGAAAGTGGTTGGGATCGACTGTCTTCCCCAGCGCCCCCGGTGCCAGGCTCCGTGCTAAGCGCTTCACGTGGACTGGCACTCATGCTCACGCCAGCCCTGCTCAGTGAATGCCAGGAGCGTCTCGCAGACAAGAAGACTCCTGCTGCGGCTTAGACCCACATTCACATCCAGACTGCACGTCCTCCTCTGCAGCATGTTGTCAAGCGTGCAAGGCACGTTTTTCCTATGAGTGTGTAAGAAACACAAGTTTGTGTGTGCGGGACTCAGGCCTGTGAGAAACGCAGACCAAGGGAGAGATGGGTGTTCAGAATCTGGAAAATGGCTCTCCAGGTCACAACCTGTGCAGCCTCAAGTGTGAATTCCTCATGTGGCCTTCCTCACACCACGTTTGGGTTTTGCAAGTTTGCTAACAGCTGCTACAAAGCTAGGAAGAGCGGCCAGGCCTCTTAGCCTCTAAAGGACTTATCACTCAATGTTAATTTTGTTGTTGCCAGTCCCTTAATGAGCTTATTTGGCACACATCTAGAGCAAAAACCTGAATTTCACTTCATTTAATTTACTTTCAACATTGGCTGGGCACCTCCTATTGGCCAAGTGATGTTCTGCAGAATACCTGGGTGGAAGGATAAATCCGATCTGTTTCTAGCCTTGGGAAGCTCACATTAACTGGATTTTACAAGAAAGGCTCAGAACAACAAAGTGTTAACATATGCATACCAGACAATTTTATTTTCCCAAATAACTGCTAAATTATGTTGTAGCCATCTTAGATTTCCAGGTCTATGGGAATTTCTAAAGCATAAGGCATTAATTACATCCTGATGGTTGAGATTAGGGCTGAATTGTCTGCAGACTTGAACGCAAACCTGCAGTTCTGCCACCTTCAATTTACGACCTTGGGCACTTTGGAGCCTCAGTGTCCTCATCTGTGTAATGGGGATTATATAAATATCTACCCATAGGGCTCCGAAGATTTAAATTAATGCTGTAAATTAATGTAGGTGGAGCCTTTAGTGAGGTATTTGACAAAGGTCTACATCTAACAACTAAATAGTAAGCATTATGATATATAATCATTTACTCAAACTCAGCAAATAGAATTCAAAGACAGAAATAAACATTGATCAAAGAAATGTTTTCCAACGTTCTGAGTATGTTCGTGAGGCACCTGGAAAGCTACCGAAGCTGCCAGTGGGTCTTCAGGCCCTGCCGCCAGGTGCTGGCTGAATGGCAAGGTGGACCAATGATTTACTGGGGCCCCTCCCTCGTTTCTCTGGCCCCCACCTTTTCCCCTTTCGACTTCCTGCCTCTCTCTAGAATTACATGATATGCCAAAGTAAATTCCCTCAGACTTGCAAATAGCCTATACTTAATCCCCCCCACCCCGCCCACCTGAGGATAAAAACTCCTTGCAGAAGACAAAATTTCCTCCCATCCCGTGTTAGGGATGTGTGGGCGCATGTCTGCAGGAAGGGGAAGCCGTGGGAGTGTGTGTGTGTGTGTGTGTGTGTGTGTCGATGCAGGAAGGAAGCGGGCGGATGTGTGCGCAGGGAGACACCTGTGGGTGTGAGCGCGGGGATTTGTGAATGAACGAGCCTGTGTGTGCAGGGACTGGGTGTGTGGAAGGGGCGGTGGCCCAGAGAAAACCCAGGTCCTCCAGCACTCACTCTGGATCAGGACCCCTTCCATCTGAGCGAGCTGAGTAACGTGGGTGGAGCGGGCTCATGGGATGGCTCATGCCCTCTAAGACGAGGTCAGAGAGAGAGACTGCAGGACCAAGAACCCAGATGGGCAAAAGGGCGGAAGGTCAGCCACAAGGCCATGTGGGGTGTTCTGGGCGGATTTGAGTGCGTGTTTCCCGGGTGGTGGATGTGGACTGGCTTTGGAGATGGGCAAGCTGGCAGGTGAGGGGGCAGAGCTGAGTGGACACCAGAGAGGATGACCCACTCAGGGGATTCTGCCAGCCGTGTCTGGGGCTGCAGGCACAGTGGTTTCAACAGAGCAGCGGGGGTGGACAGAGGTCACAGAGGGAGGGAAAACAATCTCAGAGAGAGGGTGGGCTCTGTTCTCAGACTGAGGAGACTAGGCAGGGAAAGGCGGGGGCGGGGCGAGGATCTGCAGTGACAGAGCCGGCAGGAATACGAGGTCATCACAGTATTGTTTGTTGATTTTGAAAGCTGAGTTGCATTTGAAAGATGAGGTTATGTGCCAGCGGAAAGAAGCAGCTCTCGTATTAGTAGAAGAACCGAGGCTGGAAAAGGAGGGACTCCCAATGACAGTGGGCAGCCAGAACAGGAGGTTCTGCCTGAGACCCCCTGACTTTTACATCTCCCTTGAGGAAGAGTCTTCAGTTCTTGTCCCCACGACCATAGGAGTCTCCCAAGATGCAGCTTCTTGCTCTAAGGTTCTGGCTTAAGCAGAATGAAAACCTCCTTCTCTAGGTTCCGTTAGCAGAGTAGGGCCAAATTTTGTTGTTTTTATTATTTTATTTTATGTATATATTTATTTTTTGAGAAGGAGTCTTGCTCTGTCGCCCAGGCTGGAGTGCGTGATCGCGGTGTCTATGTGTGTCGATGCAGGAAGGACGCTTGCTCACTGCAATCTCTGCCTCCTGGGTTCGAGCGATTCTCCTGCCTCAGCCTCCCGAGTAGCTGGGATTACAGGTATCCCACCCGTACAGCCACCACGCCCTGCTAATTTTTGTATTTTTAGTAGAGATGAAGTTTTGCCATGTTGGCCAGGCTAATCTTGAACTCCTGACCTCAGGTGATCTGCCCGCCTCGGCTTCCCAAAGTGCTAGGATTATAGGCGTGAGCCACCGCACCCAGCCCCCAGTTAAAAAAAATTTTTTTGCACATGTGTATGCACATACAAATACTCCTGCCTCTCGTTTGAGGCTTTGGGAGCCCTAAGAGCTTCTTTCCCTCATCCATTCCGCCCCACTGTATTTCTTGGCCAAGACATTTTTGTTTGGGAATGACAGAAAATCCTTTCCAAATGGCTTATGCAAAAAAGGAAGCGTGTTGGCTTGCGTAATTAAAAAGCCCCAGGGTGGTCTTCAGGCACAGCTGGATCCAGGACTCAAATGGGGTTTTCAGGACCCAGCTTCTCCCTCTCTTTGGTGCTGTTGGGCCAGTTTCCATCTCAGGCTGGGCGTGGGGAACCTCAGAAGCTCTGTGCTCCCCACTGTAGCAGCAAGATGGCTGGGGCACCTCGCACTCCCCTCCTGTTGGGGCCAACTTTGAAAGGAAGAGCAGAGGCTGATGGGGAATGTCTTGGCTAGAACTGGACCAGGGACCCCTTTGCAAGTCAATCACTCTGCCAGGGGTATGGAAAGGTGATCGTCTGGGGCCCCTGCCCACCCCTAGAACCCAAAGTGGAATATGAAAGTGGGCAAAGGATGGTGGATGGCCTAACCCAGATGCCACTGCAGCCATGGAGGACACGCTCAGGACGCCGGGCATGGATGGGGCCACCATCCAGGTGTGCAGCCTCTCTCGTCACACTCCTGTCCTTTCCTAGGCAGCTGGTGAGGCAGTGGGGCCTCTGACTGGGAACCCAGCTTGTTCGTTACAACTCACATGGGCTGAAGGGGAAAAGGAAGCGTGAGAAGAAAATGCCAGAGGCAGGAAAGTGCTCCTGTGAGCAGTAGTAGCCATTTGCCATTTTCTGGCTGCTCAGAATCCACTCTTTTCATGGGTATCACCCCAAATCCCCCTCTAGATCTGCGTAACCCAGCCGCCCACCTCCCAGGGCAGAAGTGAAAGCACCAGTCTCCCCTTGCCGCACCCCAGACGCAGCCGGGGTGGAGGTGGCAGCCTGAGCTCTCCCATCTGATGCCTGCTCCTGGGACGCTGACTCTGGAGCGGGCATCTCAGGGCCCACAGGGACAGCAGGAGGGCCTGCTCCACCCTTCCCTGCTCTGGCCACAATACCCTGACAGGGATGCTCTGGCTTCCTCTCACTCCCTGCCTATCTCCAGGCCTGGTTTCTCAGCTTCCTCCTCATTTAGGGAGGCCTCAACAAGCACCCAAGAGTGTCCTTTTCTTCCATTTGCCTCACAGCATCCTCTTGACATTCACAAAACTCTGGTTTCTGTCCAGCCAGGGCCAGCTCACTCCCAGGGCACCAGCCCTGTCCACTCCAGGCCTGTCTAAGAGGAGGCTACACCCAGACCCAGAGGTGAGAGCATTTCACCACCCCTTGCCCAGGCACTAACTTTTGGCCCTCAGGGGACCCCTGTAGAGGTGGCAGCTCTCAGACACTGTGACGCCCTCACTACCAAGGTCAGCCTCTTTCAGTCCTCGTTTCTAGTCTGAGTGATAGGCTCGTTCCTGACTCATTGGTGGGACCCTGGCAAGGTGCTCGGTGAATGAGCTCACTCACGTTGACGTTTCAATCAGCATGTTTATCTCCCACCCACCCACCCCTGCACTAACCGAATTTTTTCTCCTGTCCTGAGGGTGTCTTTCGTCTCCCAGCCTCCACACCATGCATGACTCACTTGCTGCAGAATCGGGCATCCAGGCTGCAGAGGCTCAGCGTCAAGGCTCAAAAGCCTCTGGAAGGAGACGCTGATGGATGTGCGGAGACTCATGTTCGCAGACAACACGCCCAGCGCGGGCTGGGGGAGACAGCAGGTG